TATAACTCTTTGTCTTCAAAATGTATATAACTGTGCATTCTCTTTTATTTATTTATTTTTTAAGTACAAACATCCCAGCAACAGCACATGGTGAGCTGTTGCTAAGGGCATAGGTCTTTATTGGAGGAGGGGTACAGGCAGGGCATGAGGAAGGTTCCCCCATTCTAAGAGGTTGGGAACAGTCCTGGCTGCCCCACAGTGGGTTGTGGGCGGGGGGGCTCTCTGGCCAGGCCACAGTCCACATGGGAAGACACCAATCAGTCACAAAGTCATGGGAATGCCACACAAGCCTGGCTGTGGGCCCAGGTACTACACAGGAGCCCAAGGCAGGTCCCCTGGGCTAAACTATACAGGATATTAAACTATACAGGATGAGGCTGTACATGAGTTAATTACAAAAGAGCTATACTTACAAAAATCTGTACACACATTTGAAAAACTCACAAAATTGTCATCTATGTATCACAAGTTACTAAATGAAAATAATTTAAAATGGAATAAAATTATACATTTCTTTTCTCAATTCTCTTCAAAAGGATTAATATTTTTAAAGCACATATACTACTTTCCTTAGCAAATTCCACAAAGAGACTGAGCAGCCCAGCCCTCCTTGAGCCCCAGAGGACTTGAGCTATGAATGGGCCTGGCCAGGGGACACTGCCCAGAGTCAGGGAAGGGGAGTCAAGCCCACAGTGCAGAGCAGAATGCTGAAACACAAAAAAGGAGGAAGTTGTCTCTGGCTACAACTCTGGCATTAAATAAAAGAGGCAAACAGGATGGAAACATGCAGCCCTGCCAGCCAGGTTGGGGCAGAGTAGGGGAACAGGCGGCCTTGAAGCCTGGCTCCAAGAAAGGTGGGAACCAGGCCTGGGCACATACCTTGATGGGAGAAAGTTGTGATTCAACCAGTTGGGTGTGCCTACTGGGCCTGGCAGGGAGCGCATGCATGAAAGAAACAGGGAAGGGCAGGTGGGCCACCTTGGCCACAGCCAGCTCATCAAGTAACTAAAGTGGATGTAGTGCAAAAGTTGCAACCAAGTACTATGGACATGCTACCTGCTTGCCTTAAGGGTCATGTGGCAATGTTGGGCCAAAGGCAGGACCTTGTCCTTGTCCTGGGTGCCTGGGTCCTCAGCCACAGAAAGAGCCTCAAGTTTTCCCAATGTGTGTGGGTCAGGGGAGACAGAACACTCTCCCCTTACATGTTAGCCGAGAGCTCCTGGGTCCAAGTATCAAGGCTCAGAGTTTGTGCTTCTCTTTGTAGTCTGTGCCCCCTGTTGGCACCAGCAGGCTGAGAATGGACAGAGGAATATCTGGGCCTCTTCACCCCATGGCAGAGCACCCAGCCTGAGCTCCAGCTCAAAATATCACAACAGCCCTTCCACACTGACAAGGTGTCCAAGAAAACCCACAGGGTGGCCTGCCGAATAGGATGCAATGCACAGTTCCATGGGGCAGAGGGGCTTGGGTGGTGATGATCGTAGCAGAGCTCTGTGGCCCTCAGGTGTGCACCAGGCCTGGGAGGGCCATAAATGATCACCAAGGCAATGTGGTTGTTCTGCATGACCTCAAAGATCATCCGCTGAAGACCAAAGCAGAACGTGGAGCCAAATGGGTTGGTGTTGTCTGGGGAGCAGGACCTGTGCAGAGCAACAGGCTTCTCCACAGGATGGCCCAGAAGCTCTTGGATGTTGTCCCCCTTGCTGTAGGTCATGCACGTTTCTGTCTGACCATCTGTGTTTTCTCTCTTTACAGTTAGTGGGTTCTTGAACTCACAGTGGTGATAAATGTTAAAATTATAATGTCCAGGGTAATTGGCGTATAGGACAAAGTTCTTCACTTTGAGTGTATTCGCGTCAAAGAGGACGTCCACTCCAAGAGTAAAGTAGTTAGAAAAGTAGTCATTGCACTTGGATGGAACTTGCTTATCAGGAGAAGGAGAATAAATCTTCATTTTGTCTTCTGACTTGTAGAAGACCTTGTGTGGAGAGGTAAGCATGCTAAGAACATCTTGGCAGGAACTGCCAAAATACACTAAGAATTCAAATACCCACATCTTGGCATCTGTTAATACCCTGGGTCCGCAACCTGCGGCAAGTAGGCGAAGTCATAAACCTGAGGGTCCAGTTCCATCTCAAAGAACATCTATACTCTCAGCACACACATTGCCCAGGAAACAGCTCAGGGGCATCATGGGAACCTTGGTATCCTGTAGGCTGTTTCCACTGTAGATGTGCATTCGTTTCACAATTGCTTCGTGGGTTGTCTGGAGAGAAGCCAGACCATGGGCAAAACTGGGTTCGTACTTGGGAGCCTTGGTCCATGAATCTAGCTGAAAAGAGAAAGACAGTCCTCTGAAGTTGAGGTGGAAGAGCTGCTCAGTGGAGTTGTATACTCCAGGATGGGTTGCATTGAAAGACTGGTCAATCTGCTCAATGGTGGGAGCTATGGCTTGAGAATTGAAATGCACACTACAATATTTTAACTTTACTTTAGTCAAGTCATATATTTCGATCACCTTAAGTCTCTTAGTTTGATCCCATCCTGAGCCAGGTTAAAGATGAGGTGATGGCTGAGAGGAGACCAGTGCACATTCCCATTGCTCGTTTCCCAGAGAACACTGAGGCACCACCTCCACACCCAGCATTGGTTTGGTTCGCTGATCCTGCGGCCTCCCTGCCGCAGCACAGACAGACCGGAGCTCACCTGGCTGGCAGCAGCCTCGGGAGGCCCTGTGCATTAACGTCTAATGGACAGAAAAGTCCTCAGAGCTTTCTGAAAGATTGTCTCCAGGGCTATACTCCTCAGGTTGGCTCAAATAAAATTCTCTATTTCTTTCTTAGATTGACTATTAATCAAATTTTTCGTGGACAATACAATGTCCAGAATAGACAAATCTATAGAGACAGAAGATTAGTGGGTTGTGGTGGGGGGTGGAATGGGGAATAGGAAGTGACTTCTAATTGGTAAGGGTTTCATTTTTTCGGCGGTGAAAATGTTCTAACATTGATTATAGAGATGGTTGCACATCTCTGTGATTACACTAAAAGAAAACACTGGGGCTTCCCTGGTGGCACAGTGGTTGAGAGTCCGCCTGCCGATGCAGGGGACGGCTTCGTGCCCCGATTCGGGAAGATCTCACATGCCGCGGAGCGGCTGAGCCCGTGAGCCATAGCCGCTGAGCCTCCGAGTCTGGAGCCTGCGAGTCTGGAGCCTGTGCTCCGCAATGGGAGGGTCCACAACACTGAGAGGCCCGCGTACCAAAAAACCAAAACAAAAACACTAAGCTGTGCATTCTATCTTTATACATCTTTTTCCTTTTTTTTTTTTTCTTTTTGGCTGCCAGCTTGGGGGGTTTCAATTCCGCGACCAGGGGTTGACCCCAGGCTGTGGTAATGAAAGCCCGGAATCCTAACCATTAGGCAACCAGGGAACTCCCAAACTGTACATTTTAAATGGAAGAAATGTATGTTATGTGAATTACATCTCAAAACGTTGTTTAAAAATACTATCCACTATTAACATTTGTCTTATTCATCCCCAAAAGACTAATATTTGATATCTTTGAATAAAATCCCAAGAATGTGCACCAGATTCTAAAGACAATTCTAAAAATGGTTATCCAAAAGTATCGAACTAGTCCAAAGAAAACACCACATTTTGGGGCATGTACATTTCCCAATGTTTAAAAACTTTTACATAACTTATAAAATGCAATACAAAATACATAATGAGTATACTGAAGTACATTTCAGAGCCCTAATTTTTCTGCTTCCCTGGAAGAAATTTGTATATATCCTGAGTCAGTTGGTTTTAGAATTCTTGGGACCTATTTTCATTAAATAACTATTCCTTAAATATTTTCCAGTATACATTGAATATACCAAGGAAATTCAAATATAAAGAAAAATTCCGCTAAGATCTAGAAATACATTCCAGGCTCTCAAAACTTTGGTTAATACCAAGAAGACAAATTCTTTTTTTTTTAACATCTTTATTGGAGTATAATTGCTTTACAATGGTGTGTTACTTTCTGCTTTATAATAAAGTGAATCAGCTATACATATACATATATCCCCATATCTTTTCCCTCTTGCTTCTCCCTCCCTCCTGCCCTCCCTATCCTACCCCCTAGGTGGTCACAAAAAAGCACCGAGCTGATCTCCCTGTGCTATTCGGCTGCTTCCCACTGGCTATCGGTTTTACATTTGGTAGTGTATATATGAAGAAGACAAATTCTTAATGAAACTTTTTGTTTTTTGGCCGCGCTGTGCGGCTTGCGGGTTTTATTTCCCTGATCAGGGATGAAACCCAAGCCCCCTGCAGTGGAAGAGCCGAGTCCCGCCACTGCACCTCCAGGGAATTCCCTTGAAACTCTTTTAAGCTAAAAATAAAATTTTTTTAAATGAGATTTTTTCCGTACAGAAAATGCAGGAACATCCATTCAACTGTATCGGAAAGAGAGAAAAGAAATCATTTCTTATATGAAAAGTAACAGATTATATGGACTCTCAATAAACTTTTATTTTTAAATAAATAAACAAATCTTCTGGGAATACACGTTTGCTTGTACATCAACCTAAGGCATTTCAGCAAAGCCGGATGCCGTGAGCGCCGCTGGTGTAGTGGTATCATGCAAGATTCCCATTCTTGCGACCCGGGTTCGATTCCCGGGCGGCGCATCTAACTTTTGTCCTTGCCTTAAATAATTTTTATAATCTTTCTTCTTCTGGAAACACAATTTTTCATTTCCATGAAGGTTTATATTTCACTATAAATTACTGTTGACACACTCGAATCCAGAGTGGAATTCAAAAAAGTTTCCTCAAGTCACGAACTAGTTAACCTTTACGCCTGCGCAGTCTGAGACATCCCCGAGCGTCGCTGGAAGAGCAGCTGCGCAACGAGTGAATATAAGGACTGAGGTGCAGCCTGGCGGCCAGGAGGTTGAAAGTGCAAGATTCTTCTGCGCCTGCGCGGCCCAGGTCACTTCGCTGGCTGCTCCAAGGCTCCCGGCTCGCCGCCATCTTGTGTTGGGGCTTCATTGTTCGCGCTGGGCCGGGTGGTTTAGTGTAATTGCCGCCGAAGCAGGGGGCGGAGTAACCTCCGGTCGGCCGAGAAACCCAGCTATTTCACAGACATAGCAGTTCAAAAGATTTGTGAGGTAGTAAAGGGTAGAGAGCTGGACCCGGAGGCGCCGCCGCGACAGCAGCAGCCATGGAGGACGAAATGCCTAAGACTCTGTGAGTCTGGGGCAGCGATGAGGGGGGCGGGATGGTGTTGGTCCCGGAGCGAAGCTTCGGCTCTGCGCCGCTCCCCAGCCTATTGTTCCCCGCGGACGCCGCGATATCATGGTTCCTCTCCCTAGCGCTCACCGGGATGCCTAGGGACCGAGACCCGGGCTGTGAGGGGACGAGATGGACGGAGACGGGGCTCAGCCCTCTAAATTAGTCCCTGCCCTGTAACTACCCCACAGCGTGGCGTTTGGCTTCGTCCCGGGCGCTCTGTGGTCTTAGGCGTGGAGAAAAGATTTTCATTCAAACCTGTTTTTAGAACTCGGCTAGCCTTTTTGTTCTACGCTTTTCTTCTCTCCCCCCATCCCCCTCCCCCGCGTCTCGATTAACCTCTTTTGATTTTTACAGCCGTCTCCCTTTCATTTTACTTTGATTTTCTCTAGAAACTCTTCCTTTCATTGTCTTTCGTTGATAAGAATTTTTGTCTTGAAAATGCTTATACTGATTTTCAGGGACTTAAACTTTATTCTCGCAGTTGCCAACTGGAAAAAAGCCAAATGTTTTTTCTTGAACTTCTCTGTGTCTTTCCTTCCGTGGCACCCCCTCCCCCGATCAAAAAGCCCCAAATCGGACCCCGTAAGGATCTTGAAACTGCTTTTTAAAAATGGAACTCTCCCCCGGAGGTATATATCAACTGAGGGGAAGTGAATATAATGCATTTTTATCGTCGCTTGCTACTTTTCTGATTGACATGTCGTTGAAGGAGCGGGGAGTTTTTAATGAAGCAACAATTGATAAGTACCTTAACATATTTAGTCACCTCTGAGAATTTTTAGACTTAGTGTTAAGTGATCTTAGTTTGGGATCTTTTCTTGGTCGTGTTGCTCTCCCCGCCCCCTCTCCTTTGTTTTTTTCGAAATATTATCCGCTGAGGTGATCCTGCCTTTGTTGCTTTTCTCGAAAAGAAGAAAAAGCCCGACGAGTTTTTGACGTAGCTTTTTTGTTTTTATTCTTAGAATACTGGCAGTTTGAGAACTCAAGGCAATAAAAATACACTCAGGTTTCTTTTTGCAACTCTCTGGATATCACAGTTGTTATGAAGTACAACGTAATCAATTATTTTTTTCGCCAACAAAATAGTTTAAGTTTTGTAATCTATATGAGAAATATAGTTACACTTGTTTTCTTAATGAATAGGTAAACTTTTTTGATAGTTTGTCTCATAATCTGTTAGTTACATTTTGTGTCTTTTTAATAGGATGCAATTAGCGCATGACTTTTGTCTTTTGAAAGATTATATCTGTAGATGAATACTCCCTAAAAAATCATTAGCCCCATAGAGTTTATGGAAACCTTTTTTCCCTCTTGTCTCTTCGCTAGAAGTATGATAGCCAGCAGCATATTGGATTAAGAACTGCTCATCTTTTATAATGTCTTTAAGATTCTTATTTTGAAGTTTTTAATTTCAGAAACTGCCAAAAATAATCCGAGAATTTAACCTATGTACGTTGATTTGGGAATATCAAATAATGAAGACAACTTAAGCTTTCCTAGGCCAGTCTACAAAAGCAAGCAGTACTAGCTTGGGGACAGGGGACCAACCATTGCAGGAGAATTAATGAAGTTTTATTTTTAATTTAATTTATTATTTATTTATTATTTATTTATTGAATACTTATCGTTTGCCATGTGTTCTCTGTTAAGTGCTTTATGAACTTGTGTAATCCTCATCAGAATTCTGCAGTAAATGGGTCCATTTTACAGCTGAGGAAAAGCTAAGCTTAGAATTAAAGTAACTCATCCCAAGTCATATACCCTTTTTTTCATCATCCTGCAACTCTACTGTCCTCAACTCTTGACACTTACATTTATGACTGATTTTGCCTTGTATGCTTTACTAGAACACCCCATCCAAGAATCTTTTCCCCAAAGTAGTCCATGCTTTAACATTTCCTATTATCCCCTCCCTCGCTTCTGCCTTTCTCAACCAAAACTCCCATTCTTCCAGTCAGACCAATCTTGATTAAATATGAGTAGGTGCTCATCCCTGATTTTTCCCAGCAATGTTTTTATTTTTAATATAAAATGTTTGAATAACCTTGGGAGTCAGAGGCTTTTAATATGTTCTTAGCAATGTCTGGTCCATGGTAAGTGATCAATAAATTTGTTTTAAAAACTGGTACAGGGCTTCCCTGGTGGCGCAGTGGTTGAGAGTCCGCCTGCCGATGCAGGGGACACGGGTTCGTGCCCCGGTCTGGGAAGATCCCACGTGCCGCGGAGCGGCTGGGCCCGTGAGCCATGGCCGCTGAGCCTGCGCATCCGGAGCCTGTGCTCCACAACGGGAGAGGCCACAACAGTGAGAGGCCCGCATACCGCAAAAAAATAAAAAATAAAAAAAATAAAAACTGGTACAGTTTCAAGCAGTGAATCAAGATTTTACTCATTCTTGAGGGTAAGATACAGTCTGAATTTCAGTATTGCCTGTGTACCTGAATGGCTCAGAGGAAGTGCCTTCCTTTGCCACAAATGAGTGTTCAGCAGTGCCTTGTTAGAGACTGTTCAATTTCTTGTCAGCAGTACTCTGGAAATGTACAGTTGACCCTTGGGCAATGCAAGGGTTAGGAGCTCCAGCCCTCAAGCAGTCAAAAATCCATATATAACTTTTACAGTCAGACCTCAGCTTCTGTGGATTCAACCAACCGTGGATCATGTAGTACATATTTAGTGAAAAAATTCCATGTGTATAAGTGGATCCACGCAGTTCAAACACATGTTGTTCAAGGGTCAACCGTATTGTGAGAAGTGGTTTGATTCTGGAAATGTTTTGAAAATGGAGCTGTGGGAATTGCCAGTGGTTTGGATGTTGAATGTGAGAGTGAAGTCAGCAATAACTTTAATTTGCAAACACGTAATTATCAGCCATCTAGAATGTTAGTTTGTTGTAAAATATAATTTAAAACGAGAACTGTCCTGAGAGCATGGATATCTTATTAATAAGTCTTCTGGGCATAGTGTTAGATACTTTTGTTCAGACTGGTTTATGTACAGTTGGCCCTCTGTATCCACTGAAGTGGAACCCTCAGATATGGTGGGCCAGTTGTAAGAAACCTGAGCATCCATGGATTTTGGTAACCATGGGAGGGGGCAGGTCCAGGAACCAATCCCCTGGGAGTACCAAGAGATGGCTGGCTGCATATGGTCTGATCTCCAAGTGAAGGAGGTGCTAGCTGATAAAATAAGAGGGTTTCAGCTATCACGCAACAGAGTGTCCTTTGTGAAGAGTAGACAGTTGTTAAATAATAGTAAGGTTATGATGCTGGTATATAGTATTTGTATTATGTACAACAAGCATTTACTGTCATATATAATTTCTTTTTTTAAATTGAATATAGTTGATGTACAATATTTTATAAGTTACAGATGTACAGTATAGTGATTCACAATTCTTAAAGGTTATACTCCATTTATAGTTATTTTATAAATTATTGACTGTATTCCCTGTGACGTATAATATACTCTTGTCATAATTTCGTAATTAGTAGCAGACATATACCTTTTCCCCCTGAACTAGAGTGACTCAGGCAAAATGGGTTAATTCCCTAGCAAATTGCAAATGTTCAAAAGATTCTGAGAGAATACAGTTATCTCTTTGACAAATATTTATAGAGCACTTAAATATTCCAGGCAGGGTTCTAGGTAGTAGATATATAGTATGAATGAAAATAAAAATCTCTACTCTTGTGAAATTTATCATTAGATTAAAACATATTCATGTTTTTCACTCAGATTTTCAGAGGCCTCATATCAAAGTCTGCATTTTTATACAACGATTGTGGCTCATAACAAACCCAATAGAGCATTCTGCCTTGTAAATTTTTCTTTGTAGCTTAAATTTTCTAGACCTGTACTAATCAAAATGAATATTTAAAATGTTTTGGATTCCAATGTTACAACTGTTTGAACTTAATATCAGCTTTAAAAATATATATTAAATTGACATGAAATCCTATCCCAGAACTGTCAAGTTTTCACTAGCATTGATGACTTTTTCCATTGAATTTTCTCAGGAGGCTTTTTTGTTTTTAGATTTATTTATTTTTACTGTACACAGGATCTTTGTTGTAGCATGTAGATTTCTTAGTTGCAGATGCATGTGGGATCTAGTTCCTCAACCAGGGATTGAACCTGGGGTGCCTGCACTGGGAGCATGGAGTCTTACCCACTGGACCACCAAGGAAGTCCCTCAGGAAGCTTTTTATTTTGAAAAATTTAAAACCTATGGAAAAGTAGCAAAAATAGTACGTTGTAGACTTTGATAACTTTCGTGTGGCTTTACCAATTGCTAATAGCCAAATTTGCTGAACCATTTGAGAATGACACTTAGGGGCTAAATACATCTAAGAATAGGGGCATTCTCTTATGTAACGGCAATATAATTTTCATATTAAGGAAACTACATTGAGTCAGCATTGTTAACTAATACACAGTTTATACTCATATTTTATCCAGTTGCCCAAGGAGGATGTTTACTTTCCAGTTCCTGCACAAGATTGGTACATGATCTCAGAGGTGATATAATAAATATCAACATGGGATACTTCAGTCTATGCTGTTAACAGAAAGTTCATGGAACACATAGAAAGGGATATTTTAACGTTCTTGAATAAAAAGCATCTTGAAAAATTAAAACTACATAAATGTAAGAAATTTACATTTTTGTTTAGTAGTCCAGTTGACATCGTGACAGGGAATCTTGGCTTACAACTGCTCCAGTATCAATTTTTGTATCACTCAGAATTTTCTTAAATGCAAGCTGCAAAATAATTCAGGCATAAAAGGAATTTGTTTAAAAAGATATTGGACACTCCCAGAATTTGCAGGAAGGTTATGGAACCTGGCTTAGAAACTGTTCAGGAAAGAGAGACAACTAACTGTCAGGCCTACAGTCCTTAATCAAGCCACAGATCATCCCAGAAAGGATACTACTGCCACACCTACTGAGGACCTGATACTACAGCTTCCACTTTCACTGGGCATGGGACTCTGCAGCTGTTTGCCACCAAAGTGGATTCTCTTCAGTCTCTGCTTCTTTCACCCCTGTCTTTGTCTTCTGTGTTCAGGACTGGTATCTGTATTTGAGCTAGCCCAAATCACATGCAAGGGAGACTATATAACCATATTTAGCCTTTTCATCTTCTGAAGAGGAGTCAGGCTTTGCCACAGGGTGAGGATTTCTCTAAAAACAGGAAGATAATTTGGCAGCCTAAAAGAAAAAAATCTGTTACACGGGTAACTTAAATCCATGCTGTTAAGAGGAAATCCTTTCACTTCAGAAACAGAATTGTATGTGACAAAGTATGGGACAACTAAAGAAACATTTTTATATAAAAATGGGAATGAACTACAAGTATATATGTTACTTGTAGTTTATTGTATTGGTGTCAAAGGTTGAGAGCAAGTTGTGTAACTTCCTCTGAAGAGACTTTGTCTAAACAGCTGTGTGTAGAGTTAATTGATAAAGCCTCCTGGAACATGTAGTATACAGCAGGCCACATTAAATAAACAAATATAAAGGCAATACAGACCTTAGTGCTTTTTAAAGTATGTTTTATTATTATTATTAGCTGTCTTCAAACTACGTAAATCACTTAGAAAATATTTCTGAGAAAATCTTAAAGTTTTGCAAAGAGTAAATGATAGACTCCAGGTTCCCTAAATACTGTTCAACTTGTCACTGGATTATCTACCTTTAGCAAAGCAGATGTTAGAATTAAATTTTCAGAAGAGCCATTTTTTAAATTTAGACATATGCAATCCTTAGGATTTCTTATAGGCACAAGAGTCGGGTAAGAATAGCTACAGAAGAGTTGCAGAGATAGTACAGAGTTCTCGTTTGACCTTCACCCAGCTTCTCTTAATGTAAACATCTTACTTATATAACCATGATATAATTTTCACAACTAAGAAATTAACATTGGTACAGTACTGTTAACTACAAATTTTATTACCATTTCCCCATGCCACTAATGTCCTTTTTCTATTCCAGGATCTAATCCAAGATACCATATTGTGTTCAGTTGTCATGTCTCTATCCTGTAATATGTAAGGAGATATCTTTCATTACTGTGGCACTTTTGAAGGGTACTGTTTCTCCACTGTACAGTGACTACTGTTTTTCTCGACATACTCTGTCAGTTAGAATTGAGTCACTAAGAGTAGCCGACCCTCAAGTAGAGGGAAATTAAGCTTCACTTCCTAGAGGGAGGTGTATCAAAGAATTCTTGTCAGTAGCGATTATTACTAAGGTGTTTTAATGGTGATTTCTCTCATTTCTTCTACATTTATTAATTAGAATTCTGTAAGAAAAAGCTATTGCCCACCCCCGACCCTAATCTAGAATTCAGTCAAGGATTATTCATTGTATTAGGTTGTCAGTGTCTTTTAAGTCCCTCTTAATCAAACACAGTCTTTTTTAGGACAATAATCTTTTGAAGATAATCAAATAAGTCTCCTTATATAATATCCCACTTCTGGATTTGTGTAATTGTTTTATATGCCCAATATCCTGTAAACTTAGATCTAAATTTAAGCTTAGCTAGATTCAATTAGACCTTTCTGATTTGAATACTTCATAGATTGATATATAATTCATATTGTACATACAATGTCTCATTGTTTATCCATAAAATGATTTAAAGTTTGAACACTGGGTCAAAGTGGCCAAAAGCTCTCACTTTTAAGGTGGGTTTTCCCTTTGCAGTTGTTAAGTGATCTATGTGATAACTTAGGCACCCTGCAAATATCCATTTTCTTACCAACCTTTCACCTAATAGTTTTATATCCATTAATGGTTCGTGCCTGAGTCAATTTTTCAGTCAGGCTTACACATTGCTAATTTAATGCTCTCTGTCTACATTTATTGACTAGCATTTTTCTATAAAGGAATTGTTCATTGTTCCTTAAGACTCAGCATTTCTCCCTTTGCCATTTTAACCTATACCTGTGCCTTCACAGTAAGCATTCAATATTCTGTTGAATGGGTAAATGGAAGGAAGGAATTGAATCCACACTTTCTGGCATGTATAGATGTTTATTTTGAGGGGGAGAGAGTCCATACCTTTCATCACATTCCCTGAAGGATTCTTAGCAGAAGAATGAGAAAGTACAGTTGTTGGGAGACAACATTCTCTGATTTCAGAAGTAATAAACCTCTAACTCTAACATGTCTGGAGGTAATCTCATTTTAAAATCCCCTTTTGAAAATTTATTTATAAACCCTTTAAATAAGGATCATCCCCCTTCCCCCAGAAAAAGTAAGGATCATCCCAGTCATGTGGTCTTATAATACATTATTTACACTAATTAAGTTTGTTAGTCACCACTTCATATTATCTGTTAAAAGTCTCTCCTAGACTCTTTCTCCTCCCTTTCTACTGTCACTGATCAGTGAAAGGTTTCCCATTGAAAGGTTTCCGATTCTTTTGTGAGCATGTACAACACCTGATAAGTGATTTATCCATGATTTTTCAAAAATATGTTTACTGTGTAAGCCAAAGTATACCTAAATTGGACAGTTTTAGGGAAATCATGTGAATTAAAAATTGAAGAAAATTTAATGTTCTCAGTAATACTGTAGAAGTAGAAATAATTGCAAAGCTTTCCAGGATTGACTGTATAAAATGTTCTACATATTTAATGATTCATTTGAGAGATTTTAAGCATATCTTCCTAAGGTAAGCCTAGAAACTTAGAAACAAGCAACAGGTTTTATTTGTACAACCTTGAATAAAAACACACACACACTAGCTTCCCCTCTACTAACAGTGTCTCATTAATATATTTGCAAGTAACGTATCTTCCATATGTTTTGAAAGAGATTTTGAAGTTTTCACAAACTTTTAAAAAGTTCCCAAATAGTAGATCCCAAAGATCTACCTATTCCCCATATTCACTCTCCAGTAATCAACTTTAGGAACTGATGCAAAAGAAGCAAATTTAAAATGATGAATTGTTTTTCTTTGTGTTTCAGATATGTCGGTAACCTTTCCCGAGATGTGACAGAAGCTTTAATTCTCCAGCTCTTTAGCCAGATTGGACCTTGTAAAAACTGCAAAATGATTATGGATGTAAGGGTATTTTACTTAGTTAACTTTCTTTTTTTTCTTTTCTTTGAGGTTGTCCATGATATATTATTTAAACCCATTACTTCCAGGAACTCTTAAATTGGTTTATACAGTCTAAATTCATAGGGGTTTTAGTAAATTTGTAATGAGTCCATTTTGGCCATGAAGTTTGTTTTAGTAAGTAAAGAAAGAAGAGAATGGTACTAATCATGTCTAAAGCAGGTGACAACTATATGTGGGCTCTTGTTTTAAAGTGTATTGAGGCATCAGAATTGTTTGTTTTATATGTGGTATCAGTTGATTGGCTAAACTAGAAATTCACTTATTACAATTAAAATGGGAAATTGGGTAAAAAAAATAATAGACTTTGATACTGTGAAAGTGTTTTTAACTTAATTTTAAAGGTCATGATTCAAGTTTTTCTTGTATTGTGGCAGTGCCCATCCATCAGACCTTAATGTATAGAAAAAACATAGAATTCACTCATCTAATTGGTATTAATCCTGAGTCATAATGTGTGTTAAAAGGCACCTTAAAATTCTTTTGATGAGAAAAACAGTGCTAAAGAGAAATCCTTTTATCCCTGGTCTTACCTACCTTTAAACTTTTGGTTTTCTTTTCTCCAGGAAAGAAAATCATACATGTGTCTGTATCTACTACTTTCTCTTCTATTGTATTTCAATTTAACTTTTTTTTACTTGGTATTTTTAAAAATAATTATTTAGCCAGTTGGCTTTGGTTTGCTGTGTCGGATTTTAAAATGTCAAACCTTTCTCCTGGGATTTCCGCAGTGGTCCAGTGGTTAAGACTCTGCCTTCCAATGCCGGTTTGATCCCTGGTCAGGGAATTAAGATCTCATCTGGCGCGGGGTGCAGCCAAAAACTAAAAAAAAAAACTCTCCTAATGTGGTAGGGTCACCTACATATAATATAGATGGATTCAACAGATGTTTTTTGTCCTTTACACTCTTCTAAAGTGTTGGGTTTTTGGTTTTGGGGGGTTTTTTTGGCGGTACACTGGCCTCTCACTGTTGTAGCCCCTCCCGTTGCGGAGCACAGGCTCCGGACGCGCAGGCTCAGCGGCCATGGCTCACGGGCCCAGCCGCTCCGCGGCATGTGGGATCCTCCCGGACCGGGGCACGAACCGTGTCCCCTGCATCGGCAGGTGGCCCCTCAACCACTGTGCCACCAGGGAAGCCCCTAAAGTGTTTTCTTATCACATTTAATATCTGTATGCCTTTGGATAAAGAAGAAAAGATTTCTGTACCCTTAGAGAAAGATAAGAGGGAGAGATAGGGGACTATGATGGAGATTTTAAAACCAGTTTTTCATCTGGGGCTCCTTCCTTATCTTAGTGATAGTATTTATGGAATGCCTACTTCCTGTTATTTTAGTGCTGATGCCTTATCACAAATGCTCAATAGAAACATTACAAAGCAGATGTTATTCCTTTTTTTATTATTTTATTTATTTACTTTTGGCTGCTTTGGTTCTTTGTTGCTGTGCGTGGCTTTCTCTAGTCGAGGCAAGTGGGGGCTACTCTTCGTTGCGGTGCGCGGGCTTCTCATTGCGGTGGCTTCTCTTGTTGCGGAGCATGGGCTCTAGGCACATGGGCTTCAGTAGTTGTGGCTCACGGGCTCTAGAGCGCAGGCTCAGTAGTTGTGGCGCACGGGCTTAGTTATTCCGTGGCATGTGGGATCTTCCCGGACCAGGGCTCGGACCCGTGTCCCCTGCATTGGCAGGCAGATTCTTAACCACTGTGCCACCAGGGAAGCCCTTCCTATTTAATATACACAGAAATGGGGCAAAGCAAGGATGTAAACCCAGATTGATCTATTCTCTCCATAGGTCTGTAGGCTGCTCTTCTCTCTGTGTCTGGGTCTTTCTAGATATTTGCCTGTTAAAGATCACTAGGCAAAATGTTAATGACTGCTGGACCTACAGAAAAGGCTAGCTAGGTTACCTCTGCCACTTTGTATAAATTTTGGATTTTGGTCACTCAAAGGCTTAGATTAACTATTCCTTCTCCTCCTCCTTATCATTATTTTATTATTATTAAAGTCTAAATTCCAGTCTATTCACACTGATGCACTGATGTTCATATTTAGGAATTTTATACTCCCTAGAGTATAAAGGCTGATAATGTATATGCTTAGAATTTTTTTTTAATCTAAAAAGTAGTTTGTTTTTATTTTCTGAGTACAAATTAAGTAAAATGAACATTCTTATTTATTTGATTGTCTTATTCTTAGGTGTAAGCCACTTTTCTAACCACATTCTGATGCCTGTCAACATTGATCTTGGTAATAGAATTCCCATTAAATATAGCATTAATTTGATTATACATTTTTAAAAACATTTTTATATTCTCTGTTTTTAAAGTAAAATAATGGATAGTTTCAATGTCATCAATTTTGTGGTTGCCTCCTTGCTCTAAAATTCTTTAAAATCATTGCCAGTGACTTTTTTTAACTGTTAATTGTGCTTGAAACAAAATGGCATATTTCTTTCTTCTGTTATCATTCTAGTCTTTTGAATTAGTTTCTTATTTTAACAGTTCTGCTTAGGAGATTATGGAAAGAATTAAAAAGGCATTTGGTATTTTGTACTGATAGGTGTAAAATATTGGGTGTTTTTTCTGCTTCTTTAATTTATAAGAAAACATCCAGGCTTCACCATCATCAGACCTCAACTACTTGGAACACCAGTAGAAAAGAGGAGAGAGTTTTTTTTTTCTTTTTTGGCCGCATCACGGCTTGTGGGATCTTAGTTCCCTGACCAGGGATTGAACCTGTGTCCCTTGCAGTGGAAGCGCGGAGTCCTAACCATTGGACTGCCAGGGAATTCCCAAGAATTTTTATTTTTAAAAGATTTCTAAGCAGGCAAAAATTTTGATGTCAGAAAGTCCACATTCTAAAACCTATTCTAAAACTTTACTTACCAGAGAACCTCTTCAGTTTTCAGAGCCTGTTTACTTACATTTTAGAAACAGGTTTAAGAAGGTTAAGTAGAACACTTAGTCATTAATAAAAGATTAAATTATATATAGTAGTATAGTATAAGCTGTTGAAGAAGATAGCTTTCTATAAAAATAGTTCATTTTTTAGTGTTTACTGCCTTATCAAAACATTTACTTGGAGAAAAGATCCTTCGTTCTCCATGGCCTGATACTGAGATGTATAAAACTTAAAATTGGCTTTTGTGTTTCTTCTTCAACAGACAGCTGGAAATGATCCATATTGTTTTGTGGAGTTTTATGAGCATCGTCATGCAGCTGCAGCACTAGCTGCTATGAATGGGCGGAAGATAATGGGTAAGGTAAGCTGTCATAATTAAAGAAGGTGACTTGCACTGGAGAATTCTAAGTTGTATACGGTTTTGTTTCCTTTTTAGAAGCATTGTATTCACTTTACAGAAAATGATCACATTTAATATTAAGCTGGGATAAAGCAAATTAGAGGGTATGTTTATGTTAGTGTTCTTCATGGTGCCTTGCACATGGTAAATACTAAGATATTTGTTGAATTATTCAAGCTTTGATGAAAGATCTAGGAACATTGGATACTAATGGGGAAGAATAAAAGAAAAAAATTTATTGGTACTTTAGAAAGGTTAGTTGAATGTTAACAAAGAAGTATGTATGGTTAGGATTTGTTAACATTATTTGCGTAAGTGTACGTTAAAAAATAAGTATCGAGGGCTTCCCTGGTGGCGCAGTGGTTGAGAGTCCGCCTGCCGATGCAGGGGACACGGG